CCCACCCAGAGAACTTCCACCCAGAGACTCCACCACCCAGAGACTCCCACCCAGAGACTCCCACCAGAGACTCCCACCCAGAGTCACTCCCACCCAGAGACTCCCACCCAGAGACTCCCACCCAGAGTCACTCCCACCCCAGAGACTCCCACCAAGAGTCTTCCACTCAGAGACTCCCACCCAGATTCTTCCACTCCAGAGACTCCCACCCAGAGTCTCCCACCCAGAGAGACTCCCACCCAGAGACTCCACCCAGAGTCACTCCCACCCAGAGTCACTCCCACCCAGAGAGACTCCCACCCAGAGACTCCCACCCAGAGTCTCCCACTCAGAGACTCCCACCCAGAGACTCCCACCCAGAGACTCCCACCCAGAGAGACTCCCACTCAGAGACTCCCACCCACCCAGAGACTCCCACCCAGAGACTCCCACCCAGAGACTCCCACCCAGAGACTCCCACCCAGAGACTCCCACCCAGAGACTCCCACCCAGAGACTCCCACCAAGAGTCCTCCCACTCAGAGACTCCCACCCAGAGACTCCACCCAGAGACTCCCACCCAGAGACTCCCACCCAGAGAGACTCCCACCCAGAGAGACTCCCACCCAGAGTCACTCCCACCCAGAGTCACTCCCACCCAGAGACTCCCACCCAGAGACTCCCACCCAGAGTCTCCCACCCAGAGAGACTCCCACCCAGAGACTCCCACCCAGAGACTCCCACCCAGAGTCACTCCCACCCAGAGAGACTCCACCCAGAGACTCCCACCAAGAGTCTCCCACCCAGAGTCTCCCACCCAGAGACTCCCACCCAGAGACTCCCACCCAGAGACTCCCACCCAGAGTCTCCCACCCAGAGAGACTCCCACCCAGAGAGACTCCCACCCAGAGACTCCCACCCAGAGACTCCCACCCAGATACTCCCACCCAGAGACTCCCACCCAGAGACTCCCACCCAGAGACTCCCACCCAGAGTCTCCCACCCAGAGACTCCCACCCAGAGTCTCCCACCCAGAGAGACTCCCACCCAGAGACTCCCACCCAGAGTCACTCCCACCCAGAGTCACTCCCACCCAGAGAGACTCCCACCCAGAGACTCCCACCCAGAGTCTCCCACCCAGAGTCTCCCACCCAGAGACTCCCACCCAGAGAGACTCCCACTCAGAGACTCCCACCCACCCAGAGACTCCCACCCAGAGACTCCCACCCAGAGACTCCCACCCAGAGTCACTCCCACCCAGAGTCACTCCCACCCAGAGTCACTCCCACCCAGAGACTCCCACCCAGAAACTCCCACTCAGAGACTCCCACCCAGAGTCACTCCCACCCAGAGTCACTCCCACCCAGAGTCACTCCCACCCAGAGACTCCCACCCAGAGAGACTCCCACCCAGAGTCACTCCCACCCAGAGACTCCCACCCAGAGACTCCCACCCAGAGACTCCCACCCAGAGTCACTCCCACTCAGAGACTCCCACCCCGAGACTCCCACCCAGAGACTCCCACCCACCCAGAGACTTCCACCCAGAGACTCCCACCCAGAGACTCCCACCCAGAGACTCCCACCCAGAGACTCCCACCCAGAGACTCCCACCCAGAGACTTCCACCCAGAGACTCCCACCCAGAGACTCCCACCCAGAGACTCCCACCCAGAGACTCCCACCCAGAGACTCCCACCCAGAGTCTCCCACCCAGAGACTCCCACCCAGAGACTCCCACCCAGAGACTCCCACCCAGAGACTCCCACCCAGGAACTCCCACCCAGAGAGACTCCCACCCAGAGACTCCCACCCAGAGACTCCCACCCAGAGACTCCCACCCAGAGACTCCCACCCAGAGTCACTTCCACCCAGAGTCACTCCCACCCAGAGACTCCCACCCAGAGACTCCCACCCAGAGAGACTCCCACCCAGAGTCTCCCACCCAGAGAGACTCCCACCTAGAGACTCCCACCCAGAGTCTCCCACCCAGAGACTCCCACCCAGAGACTCCCACCCAGAGACTTCCACCCAGAGACTCCCACCCAGAGACTCCCACCCAGAGACTCCCACCCAGAGACTCCCACCCAGAGTCTCCCACCCAGAGACTCCCACCCAGAGTCACTCCCACCCAGAGACTCCCACCCAGAGACTCCCACCCAGAGACTCCCACCCAGAGACTCCCACCCAGAGTCACTTCCACCCAGAGTCACTCCCACCCAGAGACTCCCACCCAGAGACTCCCACCCAGAGAGACTCCCACCCAGAGACTCCCACCCAGAGACTCCCACCCAGAGACTCCCACCCAGAGACTCCCACCCAGAGACTCCCACCCAGAGTCTCCCACCCAGAGACTCCCACCCAGAGACTCCCACCCAGAGAGACTCCCACCCAGAGACTCCCACCCAGAGACTCCCACCTAGAGACTCCCACCCAGAGTCTCCCACCCAGAGACTCCCACCCAGAGACTCCCACCCAGAGACTTCCACCCAGAGACTCCCACCCAGAGACTCCCACCCAGAGACTCCCACCCAGAGACTCCCACCCAGAGTCTCCCACCCAGAGACTCCCACCCAGAGTCACTCCCACCCAGAGACTCCCACCCAGAGACTCCCACCCAGAGACTCCCACCCAGAGACTCCCACCCAGAGACACTTCCACCCAGAGTCACTCCCACCCAGAGACTCCCACCCAGAGACTCCCACCCAGAGAGACTCCCCCCCAGAGACTCCCACCCAGAGACTCCCACCCAGAGACTCCCACCCAGAGACTTCCACCCAGAGACTCCCACCCAGAGACTCCCACCCAGAGACTCCCACCCAGAGACTCCCACCCAGAGTCTCCCACCCAGAGAGACTCCCACCTAGAGACTCCCACCCAGAGACTCCCACCCAGAGACTCCCACCCAGAGACTTCCACCCAGAGACTCCCACCCAGAGACTCCCACCCAGAGACTCCCACCCAGAGACTCCCACCCAGAGTCACTCCCACCCAGAGACTCCCACCAAGAGTCTTCCACTCAGAGACTCCCACCCAGATTCTTCCACTCAGAGACTCCCACCCAGAGACTCCCACCCAGAGACTCCCACCCAGAGTCACTCCCACCCAGAGACTCCCACCCAGAGTCTCCCACCCAGAGACTCCCACCCAGAGACTCCCACCCAGAGACTCCCACCCAGAGTCTTCCACCCAGAGACACCCACCATCTGTGTGTCGCTGTGTGTGTGTCTGTACGGACGTGAAGGCCGGTAACGTGATGCTGAGCGCTGTTTGTCTCTGTGTGTCTCTGTGTGTATGTCTCTGTGTGTGTCTGTGTGTGTGTCTCTGTCTGTGTCTCTGTGTGTATGTCTCTGTGTGTGTCTCTGTGTGTCTGTGTCTCTGTCTGTGTCTCTGTGTGCTTACGACCGGCTCCAGTTTAACAGCAGAGGTCTCATTCCGAATCAGT